TGTAAGAAAAGATGGGCATGTCCAAGAAGAGACAGGATGTGAGGACTGAGTTACCAGTGGCAGAGCATGGGAGGAAGTTGGGCCACTGTCTAAGAAGGTAAAATAATTCCACTACAATTTTTAACAAATTGCTAACCACTAAGTGTGTTCTATTGTAGGACTGTAGCAGCTGTAAGCAGTTCACACCTCCTTGCAGTTTACTCTGTGTGGACCTACGATGGATATTCACAAGAAAGATTGGAGACAGGGTAGAAAATGTAGAAAGCCTCCTGTGGTTGTATAGGTCTGGAGGAAGGGGAACGGATGCTGTTGCTAGAAAGCATAACTCTTCTCTAAGAACAAAAGCACTAAGCCTCTGGAGGAAGAGCTGCAAGCCCTATGGTTTCTAGGACAGAAGTGAAGGATTGGAAGAAGAAAAAGAAAACATTATTACACTTGGGGGTGAGGCAGAAACAGTGTTGGCCCTGGACTATTAGAAACCTCCTGTCCCTAGGGGAGGGACAGTATCACTGAGAGAAAGCCCTACCCTGATACCTCAGGGCACAGGGACTGCTTAGCTCAAATGATATAAAAGAGAAACTCAGCTCTCCTCCCCAACCAGGATAGAAAGCCGCATTAGTGTACCACTTGAGGAGAGGCAAGAGCATAGTGAGTCACTCTTACTTAGGTGCAGGTTCATAGGGCAGAACTTGTTCCCTAAATCTGAGGGTGGAACAAGTTCATGGAGCAAAAGCATCCAGCAAATCATCTCCACCATCACCACCTCCAAAAAGGAGAAGTTAGAGGAAATTTGAAGAATTTTGAAGTTGAAGGTAGCAACAAAATGGAAGCAACAAAACCCCAAACCAGCTTAGTTCCTGATTGTATTGACTCAGCCCCCAAATTAACAGTAGAAGAGGCATGTCCTTTTCTTTCTCTGTTGTCTCATGCTCTCTGTTGCACGATGTTGAGCCTTCAGTCAAAATTTTTGAAACAAAGAAAAGCAAAAACAAAACAAAGACCCATTGTTATCCCTTCCCCTCCCACCACCACCAACAAAATGTCAAGAGAAGAATTTAACTCAAAAGAGGAAAAAAACTCAGTAGTGACTCAGATGTTGGGAATACCAGAGAGAGAATTTAAAATAACTATGATTAATGGGCTTCGGGCTTTTATTGAAAGGTGGATAACCAGTATGGATAGATGGTAAATTTCAGCTGTGAAATGGAAACTGTAAGAAACAGTCTAATGGATATGCTACAAATAAAGAACATGGTAAGAGAGATGAACAGTGCCTTTGACGGACACTCCAGTAGATTTGACACAGCTGAGAAAAGAATAAGTGAACTTGAATATAGATCAATAGAAATTACCTGAACTGACGTGCAAAGAGACTCTTTGACAAAAAACTAAGACAATTCATTACCACCAGTCCTACATTTTAAGAAATGTTAAAAGAATTTCTTCAGTGGAAGAAAAATGATACCAGACAGAAATGTGGCTCTACACACACAAAAAATGAGATCTCCAGAAATGGTTGAAGATACTATAAAGACATTTTTTCTTATTTTTAATTACTATAAAAGACAGTTGATTTTCTAATGCAAAAATAGCAGTGTTTTGGGGTTTATAACATGCATAAAGTAAAATGTGTGAAGAATGTGAAGAGTGGGGAAGGGAAGAATTGGGAGTATAGTATTTTCAGGTTTTTATACTCTACATGAAGTAGTATAATAATATTTGAAGGTAGACTTATTTATTGAAGTTATATACTGTAAACTCTGGGGCAGCCACGAAAAATTTAAAATAGAGATAAGACTGGGGCGCCTGGGTGGCTCAGTCGGTTAAGTGTCCAACTTTAGCTCAGGTCATGATCTCGTGGTCTGTGAGTTCGAGCCCCACATCGTGCTCTGTGCTGACAGCCTGGAGCCTGCTTCCAATTCTGTGTCTCCCTCTCTCTGCCCCTCCCACACTCATGCCTCTATCTCATTCTTTTAAAAGTAAATAAACATTAAAAAAAATTAAAAAATAAAATAAAATGGAGATAAGACTCCATTTTATAAATAAAATGCATTTTATAGATAAAATCGTGAAGAAAGAGGGAATTGTAAAAAAATATTCAATTCAAAAGCATGAAAAAAGAAGGGAAAAAGGAACAGAGAATAGGTAGAATATATAGAAAACAACTAGCCAAATGGTAGATTTTAATCTAAATGTCAATGATTATATTAAGTATAAGCAATCAAAATACCTCAGTTAAAAAACTGAGATTGTTCAAATTAATTTACATTTAAAAAAACCCAACTAAATGCTATCTGTAAGGAACCCACTTTTAATATAAGGGTAGATAGATTGGTTGATTAAAAGTAAACGAATGGGAATAGTACACCATGCAGATACAAATTAAAAGAAGGCCAGAGTGTCAATATTATATTAGAAGAGGAGATTTCAGAACAGTGAATATTACCTGTGATAAAGACAGATTTTACATTATGGTGGAGAGGTCAGTCACAAAAAGATACGACAATTCTAAATATGTATGAACATAACAGAGCTTCACTATATATGTGTGTGTGTGTACACATGTATATATGTATATTTACGTATATATATATATACACACACACGCAAACCATATATACACCATATATACACTACATATATACAACGTATATGTATACACTACACACACACAATGTTAAATGTGTGTGTGTATATAGCAAAAACTGATAAAATTGGAAGAAGAAATAGCCAAATCTATAATTAAAGCTAGAAGCTGCAACACTCATCTCTCAGTAATTCATAGAACAAGTGAAGTGAAAATCAGTAAGGATAAAGACCTTAACACTATTAACTAACTTTCCCTGATTAACAGCAGACCACCCCACTGCACACTATCAGAATATACCTTTTTATCGTACGCACATTGAACATTCGGTTAGGCCATAGTTGCTATCATAAAACAAATTAAAAAAGAATCTGAATAATGCAAAATATGGTCTCTGACTAAAAGAAATAAACTAGAAATCACTAATAGATAAATCTGGAAATTTTCAAATCTTTGGTAATCGTTCAACACGTACATGGGGTGGGGGGTGAAAGTTGTCAATCTGAATGTCATCTGAAATCATTAAAGATTAAGATGTGGGGAGGACTTATACTGGGGCTAAAGGAGATGAGTGGTGCTCCTTGATTATGTTCTATTTGGGGGGGCAAAGTTACCAACATGTGGATCATTTAAATACAGGTGTGAGAGAAGAGAAGGGTACTTAGAAATATGTTGATAAAATGACTTAAGTGGTGAACTTAGTGCTAAGGTCTAAACTGTATAATGTTCAGTAATGTACTTCTCGTTCCTTCTCGCAGGAGAGGTGCAGAATAGTTGAAGGCCCCTTTTCCTGTTGGATCATAGTTCATGAAACCAAACCCCTTTGTAAGATTAGTGTGTCTGGATCTAAGATTGTTTTTCTGTGCTTCAGTATTTCTGTTGCTATCAGGCCTAGATTGTCAAGAACAGAAGATGCTCTCATTTCTTAGAGTAGGAAGATGTAGAAAGATTTTATGATCACATAAATGGACATGGAGGTTCCAGAAGTTGATGTAAATATAACAATCAGGCATATAAACACAAATACTAATCTCTGTGTAATGCTAAAGCAAACACTTAAAGGAAATTAAATGTTCTGTAATGGGTTTGGGGTTTGGGGTATCAGTTAAAATGTGGAATATTCATATAATTCACATCCACGGAGTTGAATTTTACACAGCCATTAAACATTATAACTTAGACTATCTGTCAACATGTAAAAATGCTTATGACATAATATGGAAAAATCAGAATATACATTTCCTGCACACTGTGATTGTAGCTAAAACTACTTATATTTATGAACTACGCGATAGCAGTCAAAATGCAAGTAATTTTTCCTTTTCTACTTTTTATACTCTCAGAAACGTTGCTGTATAGCATTTGTGGGTGAGAAGAAATTAACCACTTAAAAAATAAATAAACTTTAGGGCGCCTGGGTGGCTCAGTCGGTTAAGCGTCCGACTTCGGCTCAGGTCATGATCTCATGATCTGTGAGTTCGAGCCCCTCGTCGGGCTCTGTGCTGACAGCTCAGAGCCTGGAGCCTGTTTCAGATTCTGTGTCTCCCTCTCTCTCTGACCCTCCCCAATTCATGCTCTGTCTCTCTCTGTCTCAAAAATAAATAAACGTTAAAAAAATTTTTTTTAATAAATAAATAAATAAATAAATAAATAAATAAATAAATAAACAAACTTTATTTATTAGAGCAGTTTTTAGGTTCATAGCAAACTTGAGCCGAAGTTGCAGAGATTTCCCATATAGCCCCAGCTCTCACACATGCATAGCCTCCTCTATTATCAGCATCTCCCACCAGAAAGATCTGTTTATTACAATTGATGAACCTTTAGTGAATAACCATTAACACCAGAGTCTATAGCCGCTTTCTTTTAAAATGAAGTCTGGGGATGCCTGGGTGGCTCAGTTGGTTGAGCATCCGACTTCGGCTCAGGACATGATCTCGCAGTCAGTGAGTTTGAGTCCCGCATCGGGCTCTGTGCTGACAGCTCAGAGCCGGAAGCCTGCTTCGGATTCTGTGTCTCCCTCTCTCTCTCTGCCCCCCCCCCCCACCTCACATCCTGTCTCTCTCTGTCTCTCAAAGGTGAATAAATATTGAAAAAAAAATTTTTTTTAAATGAAGTCTGAATTTTGAAATCTCATCAGGGTTTCTTGGTCAGCAATCCAGAAATCTGGAGGCAGATTACTCTTTGACTTACTCTTTGACTCCTGCTAGAGGCTGGACTTGTGTCAAAATTGAACAAGTAGGGAAGTTTTTTCTAGTTAATTCCCCCAGAAGACTTCTATCCCCAGTTTACTTTGCCTCTGAACTCTATTGCTCTCTCATAGTCGGGGGATGGGCTCTGCGTGTTTGGTTGTGATTGAACAGTGGTATCAGCAGTGTTACATCTGGAATTGTCTTCCTCCATCTGTCTCTAGGAAGTGCATTTTCAACTGAGCACCTCAAGCTTCAACTCCAGAAGGAATCTCTGAATGAATTGAGGAAGGAGTGTACTGCGAAAAGGTAAATGCAATACTGAGAATAATAGTTAAGAGTGTTGAGTTTACCTTAAGGGTAGGATTTGGAAAAGCAGGATTCTGTAAAAGCTGCTGGTATTCATTTATATTCCACACACATCAGTGCCACATTCATTTATTCAACAAACATTTATGAAGCACCCTACTGAGCGTCATGCACGTGCTAAAAGTAGTTACGAGAGCTCCTAGCCTAATGAGAAATGTGAACAGTTGATTTTCTAGTTTATTTATGTATTGCTTATTTATTTTTAATGTTTATTTATTTTTCAGAGAGAGAGAGAGAGAAAGCAGGGGAGGGGAAGAGAGAGAATCCCAAGCAGGCTGGGTGCTTTCAGCACAGATCCCCACGCAGGGTTTGAACTCACAAACTGTGAGATCACGACCTGAGCTGAAATCAGGAGTGGGATGCTTAACTGACTGAGCCACCCGGGCACCCCTATTCTTCTAGTTTTTAAGGCCACTGCACCATGACTTAATGTTTGAATCTTCTCCTCTTCCTGTCTTCCACATGTAGTGTAGCTTATGGTCTTTTCTTCAGACTTACTCCTGTTTAATGTTCGTCCATTTGGATTACCTCCACAGCTCCTAGCTTGTCTTTCTAACATCAGTCTCTCCACTTTTCCAGTTCATCCTCCATGTTGCTTATCAGACCTCCCCTCTTAAAATACTATTTTTACCATATTTTTTCTCCTTTTAAGAAGTCATGGTGATTGTTTTGCTTAACTTTCAAATAACCTTCAGCAAATTGGCACTGTACAACTGTAGTTCATTTCAGTTGCTCCACAACATTCATTTCATAGGTGCTAATAGTTTTTCTCTTTATTTTTTCCAGCACATGCTTAATTTGATGCCACCTCTGTTCTTTTGCTCATGTTTACTCCCTTTTTCTGGAAACTCATCTCATCCTACATTTTTCTTCAAGAAACCTTAGCAATTGAGCATTCAAGAATGTTAGACCTGGAAAGAACCGTGGAGATCATCTGGTCTAATCCTCTCAATTTGCAGATAGGAAGGCAAGGCTCTGGGAAGTTATTTTGACCAGCTCACAAGGAAAGCAGGACTAGATCCCTTTAACTCTTTAATGCTCTTTGTGTTATACTACTACTTTTACATTCTACTTTGACCTACAGTTTTGCTGAATTCCTCTTTTTTTTTTTTTTTAATCATTAGCACAATTGAGCAGGTAATTTATTCTATGGATATTTTATCTCATGGTCTTATTTCTTTAGTTCAAGAGAAGAGCTGCATCATCTCATGCCACAGCTTATTGTTTGTTCTTTTTATTCTATTTTCCTAATATGGCAGGCAGTAGCTGTGAGTGAAAAATAGAATACTTTTTAAAGATAATACCATGTAGATATTTTCTGAAATCAGATTGGCTTTCAGATTAAATGAGACCCTGGTCTTCTTACTGAGCTTCTCTAAATTTTTTATTCTTGTTTGTAAAATGGGTATAATAATATCAACCTAATTGAATTATTCTAATAAGTAAAGCCGTTTGTAAAGCTCCTGGCATATAGCGGTAGGTGCACAGTCAATGATTATTTGTACCCTTTACATCTCTTAGCATGATGCCTGATACACACAGTAGGCCTCAGTATATAGTTATCTTGATCTTATACTATTTAGAGATAGGTCAGGATTCATGTTAGCTATTATTCTGACTCTACTTCTGAGTTTCTGTGGCCCACTGCAGGCCATTTAATCTTCCTCTGCATCAATTATGTGGAAATAAATATTAGCATGAAAACTTTTTTTTTTTTAACAAATATGCTTTTTATCTTTCCTTATCAGAGAACTCTTTCTGAAGACTAATGCTCAGTTGACAATTCGTTGCAGGCAATTACTATCTGAGCTTTCCTACATTTACCCTATTGATTTGGTAAGTTTCAAATTTTCTGGGAAAAAATCTTTTTAAAGATGGTTTCTGTTTGAAATTTCCTCTCAATGAAAAAATTCATTGCTCTAGTCTTAATCGTATGCTTTGTCATGAATCATTCAGAAGCTAATATCTATTTAAAAAAATAGATTTGGAATGAATTGGCATTCAGTTCCACCATTTGGTTTTTTATAGCAATTTGATGGTGAAATGTACTCATTTTCATCTGAAAGAATGCCAGATAAATTTCTGGTTTCCTTATGATCTTTTTTACTCAGCCAGATTATCCACTGCCATCATTTCTTTCTTTCTCTCTTTCTTTCTTTCTTTCTTTTCTTTCTTCCTTCCTTCCTTCCTTCCTTCCTTCCTTCCTTCCTTCCTTCCTTCCATTTTTCTTTTCTTTTCTCTTTTCTTTTCTTTTCCTTTCTTTCTCCCTCCCTCTTTCTCTTTCTTCTTTCTTTCTCTCTTTCTTTCTTTCTTTCTTTCTTTCTTTCTTTCTTTCTTTCTTTCTTTCCTTCTTTCTTTCGTTTATTTATTTATTTTGAGAGAGAGAGAGAGCACGAGGCAAGGTAGAGCAGAGAGAGAGAGAGAGAGAGAGAATCCCAAATAGGCTCTGTGCTGTCAGCACAGAGCCGATGATGCAGGGCTCAATCTCACTAACCATGAGATCGTGACCTGAGCCAAAATCATGAGTCAGATGCTTAACTGAATGAGCCCCCCAGGAGTCCCGCATTTCTGACGCATACATGCAGATGCATGTGTACTGCTTTAAAAATATAACTGGTAATTAATTTGTATTTGTTAGTACTACTTAGGAAATTCCTGGGGTAACTGCCAGGAGGTTAAGTTTTTGAATCTAGTTTTTTAGAGTAAATGTAAAAAGTAAAACTTCAATAAAATTAGAAAGATGAGAATTCTCTTTTAGAGAGCCAAATCACCAAACTTGATGGCTTTATTTTCTTTTTAATGAAAAGAAATTTAAAAGACTAATTTTCTGAGGAAAGCTAATAGCATTTTAGGTTGCTTACAGAATTTTGTTAATTCCATTGAAAAATCTTCGTTTATAACTATGGATTCGTGGGGATGTTTTTGTAATAAAAATTTTACATGGCTTTTTGCTTGGACATGATGTTTTAAATGTTTATATTATAGAAAATTTCAAGTATATATAAATGTGCAGATGGTAGTATAATGAATCATTATGTACTCATCATCCAGCTTCAACAATTATGATACTATTTTGTGTCTAGAACAGTATTATCTTTGAGTTAACGCTGGTCTGCTTAATTCTCTGAGATTTAACCTAGGGTTTCTGTGCTTTAAACAGAAAAAGAATTAATTTCATTCTTTGGTTGTATTCACAGAATGAGCATAAGGATTACTTTGTATGTGGTGTCAAGTTGCCCAATTCTGAGGACTTCCAAGGTATTTTATTTCTTTTTACATCTAAAGATTTGGTGTATATGATATATGGGTAGGTTGCAGAGAAAAAAATAGAGATATGTTGAAGAGTTGGTTGCCTAGCAGAGGGTTTTTGGACCTTCTGTCCCTTCCCAAATGAAAGAGTCAGATTCTCTGATGGGAGACTTAAGAGGATATTTAGTTCTAATCATGGGGAAAAAACTATTGAGTTGTATATTTGAAATTTAAAAGAAAATCGTTTTTATGTGGGCTTTAAGAAAATCAGACAATGGCATTCTTAAGAATACTAATAATCTCCCTATCCTTTTGGTTTGATTTTCATGAAAGATTTGTATGTGGTTGGGAGCAGAAGCACAACCAACATTAATCTGTTCTGTTGTTATTTAGAAAATCATATGTCTGGTAACATGAAACGTCTTTGAAAATTTGATTTTGTGACATTCCTACTACCACAGGCTCAACTTTTGTTACACTGTCATTTCTGTCCTCTTTGAACTAAGAAAAAGTTACATTAGAGATATTATAGACTGTGACTTATAGTAATTGCTATATTTTAAAGTTCCTAATCTCTTTACCAGTAGGCCAAAGGAAAGAACTTCTTTTATTTGACATTTTGGTAAAGACTTTTTTTTTTTTTATTGTTAGCAAAGTGGGTTCTTTTCCCCTAGCCTATGCAGTGCTTTGAGGCTTATTAAATAGCTTTATAGATTATTCCCAAAGGTAGCATATTATGTATGTGGGAAGAAGTTATTCAAGAAGACGGCATTACAGGTTTTGTTTGGGACCTTCCTCCATTTCCCGATAAAGAAAATGTTGTTATTTATGGTCCTTTAACATTTAAGACTGATTTATTACCTACTTTGGCCTTTACAGCAACCCTTACAGCAAGTAGTTGGGACGTAATATGAGTGATAAAATAGGAATGGGAAAACCTGTATTAAGTCCTGTTTCCCCTTCTAGAAACCATGTAATTTGGAGCAAGCCATCTAAACTCAACTCAAAAGTTGATTTCCTAATCGATATTATGAACATATTGATTCATGTCCTTACCTGGTTTGCATTAATGTTGAGAAGATTAGATCTGTAAAAGCATTACATTTGCCTTATCTTTAATCCTCACAAAACAAAGGAAACCTGTAAAGAAAGTGGTATAATCTCATATTACATAGCATGTAAATGAGCTATTTAGTTAGTGACTTGCTCAAGACCACAAAACTAGGTAACGATCTATCCCAGATTTGTCAGGTTTCCATTGTAAAATGTTCCTTCTAATCTCCATAAGTCATGGAGATGTGTTTTGATGTTGATTTTAGGCAAGTTATGGTGTCCTGAAGGCCATAACACATCTTTTTCCTCATTCGTTCATTCGTTCAACAAACCTATTGAATACCTTGAGCCTTGTGCCAGGTTCCGGGGATATAGAGCAACGATCAATTGGAGAAAGTACTAATTGAGCACACCTATATGCCAGGCACTGTGCTGGATTTTGAGGATATAATGATAGAAGAAACAAATATGTTCTCTCCTTTCATGGAGTGTGCAATCTTTTGAGGGAGACAACCAATAAGAAAATAAGTATTTAACAAGTATTTAATAAAGGAATATGTTATTATAGACAGTAGGAGAACCTACTTTAGCGAAAGCAGTTAGAGAAGGCCTCTCTGAGAAGAAACATGGGACAGAAAATTTGAAGGCTGAAAGGATCCAACTGTCTGCTACATCTGGGGGAAGAGCTTTCCTCGAAGAGGGGGCAGCAAGTACAAAGTTCACGATGGAGCAATGAACTTGATATATCTGGAAAAAAAAATTCAGGGTAGGGGGTATGGGAGAAAAGACCTGTATTTTGGACAAATCATATAATCCCTCAGCTTAATTTCTTCACCTATAAAATGGGTAATATCTACATTCTCATTTATTGTGATGACTGAATGAGATAATAATACTTGAAAGAGCTTTGTATATAAGGTACTCATGTAGATGTAATGGGAATTGGTTGTGAGAGAAAGGAGGGAAAGGGAGGAAAGTAGGAGAGAAAGAAGGAAAGACCAAAAAGACCAGACCTGTGTGACTGGAGAGTAGCGAGCAGGAGGAAGGTAGGAGAGGTCAGCCAAGGCCTAGAGGCCACCGTAGGGTGTTTGTGTTATTCTCAGTGGAGTGGGAAAACCCTGCAGGGCTTTAAGAGAGGGATGACATGAGCTGATGATATAATCAATCTTCGATTCTATTTTTGTGTTCTATAAAGTATTCTGTTTCCTAGTTTTTCACAGCTTTTGCCAGCTCTGTCTTCTTAGTATGTCCAACAAGCTGAATCTATTTTTCCCACCCTTTAAATAATTAGTTTAGCTTTTTAGTGCAGTTTGCTGAAAATGAAATGGGAGATAAAATGAAACAAATGTGTAATTTTTCACTCTAAGGCCCTGTTCGCTCCCTGTGATGCCTCACAATCAGAAATTTTAAGAAGCACATATGGTGGTGTTGGACTTTAAAATCTTATGTTAGCATTCTGCAAGGCACTTCCATATTCTCAATTCACTGAATGTCTTGTGTTGTGTCACCTGCTGGGCCAGGTGCTGAGAGTGTGCAAAGATGAGTAGGACATTGATCCTACCTCAGTGGGCTTTCGGTCCAGGTGAGGCCATTAAACTTGTAATCAGAGCCATCAAGACATATTTATTGATTTCATACCCTGTGCCAGGCACTTTGAAGTTTATAGTAGGTACCCAAGATTCAAAGAAGTGGAAATACTCAGTGCCGTCAGGAGGGGATCGTGAAAACCTTTACAGGGAAGATGGTGCCTGAGGTGTCTTAAACGATGAAATAGTATTCCCCTGGTGAGAGAAGGGTAGGAGGACATTTTAGATTGGGAGAGTAGAGAAATATGGTAACATGGAACATCATGCGTGGTGCTTCTTGTTTATTTAATTTTCACAAGTGTGAGAATGAATTCCTTCTGTGAAGGAAAGAATTACACTCAATTTTTTTTTTTTTTAAGACAAGAAAATTGAGGCTCAGAGAGATTAGTTAATTTTTCCAAAGACTCATACTAGCCAGTAGCAGAGCTAAAGTCATTCCTGGTCAGTCTGGTTTTAAGGTCCATATTATTCCTGTCATGATGCCGTTTTTGTCCTTGTTTTGAATAATAACCTCTTCCAAACTTCTGACAGCTTTTTAGTGTTCTGTAACAGCTGCATTCTTGGTCATTCTCTCGTAAGGAACTCCAAACTGGTTATTCTGTGATATTTGTGAGAGACTTTGCTGGGATAGACTTTACAATGCCTGGGTCGACACTGTTTGGGAAACTCTACTGTAGTGGCCCAAACTTTATTGTTCTTTTCTAAATGGGTAAGTTACTGTTAGAGTATGCCAAAGAAGCCTGGACACCATGGGAGAAAGTTGTCTGGTGAAGGGTATTCATTTGAGTTCCATTGACTGAGACATTTCTCATAAAAAAAAAAAAAAAAAAAAATTGTTTGTGTGTGTTTTTAAGTAATCCATAACACGAGAGCCTTTTGTGGTAATGAGACCCAGATTTCCTTCTGTGTCTGTATTCCTTTATGCAGGCATGATTTCTTGGAAAGGAGAGACCATATGTCAAACAGTGTCTCATTGAGAACATGGAATGATTCCATAGATGCTGTGGCAGTGATTAGAGTCTTAAATATTTTGTCCTGTCTGGATCAGTGAGTGCTTGGTTCCTTACCAAATCAGCTGCCTCAGTGATTGGGAAGGCAGGATGGTAAGAGCTTTTAGATCACTTATTTGTACTTGGATGCATTTGAATATTAATAGTTTGTCCAACATATAAGTCAAAGGGGCATTTGAATCAATTTATAATATTGTCATGGCCATTGTGGGTTGATGGTATTTATTATCATAAAAATGACACAAAAACTGCTGCTCTGAATAACTACTCACGTTTGAAAAACAAATCAGAAATTATTATGAGGAAACTGCAGATTTTTGTTTTGGTTTTAAGCCCCTGAAAGCATTGTTTAAATTAAGCTCTTTTTCACACACCTGAGTCCTACAGTTTATTCCTGTTCTCTCTGAACCCTTCCACCCCCCTCCAACTCCTTCTCCCCAGCAAGCCTATCATCTGTAACCTTCCTAACCCCGAGAGCGGCATAAGGAACGCAAACCTCTGCTCTGCATTAGGTGTTAGGGACGTCATTAATGCTTACTGGAAAAGCACACCCCCGAGAGCCAGGTTTTGGCTTTGGCAGGTAAAACGTCTTTTAGATCTTGGAATGCTGGAAACCTTAAACCTTTTGGTTTTTTAGCTAAAGTGATTGGCAACAGAAAGTGACATCTGAGGTTCGTGGCCAGCAATAGCCATAATTAACCACATGAGCTCACATTTTCCCACTGGAGGTTCAGTGGTCTTGGGGTGATGAAAGTGACTTCCCTACCAGGAGGTGGTTTTCCTTTTGAGGGTATTGGAATACCCTTGGGCCCTGTAATGCCTCACCCGTGGTCCTTTTAAAATGCTTTTTAATATAAAGCTTCAATATTGGAAATCCAACACCATGGCGTTTAACAGTGAGGCTATGACTGAGCACTGTGGCCTGGAATGGAAACAACCTAGGGTTTTTAATAGGTGGAGCGGGGAGTCTTGTGGTGGAAACAATGGTGAGTGTGAATAACCAGAATCAAAGCCGATTTCCAATTTTAGCGAGTTTTCGGCTTTTGCTGTTTCTTTTTGGATTTTGATTTGCATGCGTAGACTTCTCATAGAGATGCCTTTTTATCTTTAAATTTAAGCAAAATTGTTTTGGTCATTGAAAAGAGGTGCTGTTAGAAGACTAGTTTTTGTTCTTTTAATAGATACGTGGATGTGGTCTCAAAATTTACAAATGCAATTCCTTAGTATTATTAGCCTTTCAGTAATATGGAAAAATGTAGATGCTTGTGTGTTTAGCATTGGATAGGTTTTTTTTAAAGCATTCATAGTTTGCATTTGACCTGTTTGGAAGGCTGGTTAAGAGGCCTGCTGCTGCTTTCTAGAAGTTTGCAAATTCTTTTCTGTCTGGCCTCATAGGAAGGGAAAAGCTTAGTGTAAAGCACATATAAAAAAGTCCAAACTTAGTGTAGTATTATACTTCATTACTGTAAGTTGTCTGCTTCCTCTTCTCTCACTTCAGAAGAAAGTTCTTAAAGACCAAGTCCTTTTACTGATAGAAATATTTTAAATTCGATCGGCCTTACCCTTTACAGAAAGCGGAGGCACAGGATTCAGTGACTTCTCATAGACTTCAGTAGCCTAGCTGTGACTCCAGGGATAGATATTTTAAGGGCGGGGGGGTATATACAGTTCACCCTCTTATTTTATCACTCATGGATTTTACCTGTAGGACTATGATCAAGTCACTTATACAGTCTGAATTACATTTTTTTCTCAGCTCTAAATTGCTGGCATCAGATTCAGTGATTTGAGATTCCTCCTAGCTCTAACATTATATGATGATTAAATTATAATGTGGTGAATTTACAATGTAGTCGAATGTAATTTTAGTCTCTAAGGTACTGTGGTATCCAGATTTCAACACAAGTGTTATAGGACTCAAGGTACTTGCATGGGACTGGGGCAAGAGGACATGGTCTCTAAGAACAGTTAGGATTCTAGTCAGTTAGGGCATGACTGAGTAGTCAGTTGAAATGAATGCTGGTTCATTTTCTTCAGCAGTTTGATTTGAGAGAACATCAAATTTTAGTTGAGAAGCCCATTCTCAGTCAAACACTTGACAAGTCACAGAGAACTCGGTGTCCTTTGCCCTTATAAGAGAAGCGTGAAGAAACTAAGGTGATACAAGTGTGTCATATGCTTGGTACATTCTAGTGCCCAAGTTAAATTGTTGTGTTCCACAGTAAACTTCTGAGACAGTATGGTGGAGTGCTTAAAGACAGAGGCACTGGTATCAGGCCAGCCCATATGGTGTTACTGTGTTACTTCAGATGGGTTCCATAACTTCTTTGACCCTTAGGTTCTTCATCTGTGAAACGAACGAAATAGCATATAAAAAGGTACCCAGTTTCATAATTGTTGATGAATTAATGACTATCATAAATAAAAGTACTATAGTCAGTTCCTTGCAGAAGAAAGTATACAGTGAATGTTACCTGTTTTTGTAGTATACTCAAAGAGAAACCAAGAATCCACTGTGGTAGTCAGTGGTGGAGAATGAAATGATGAATAGATGACTATAGTGGCATTCCTACAACAAGAAGGTAGTACTTGGATAAGTAAATATAAAAAGAACGTGAAAAATACCACTAATAATTGAAGTTAAAGATAACCTTTAGAAATCAAGCCAAGGTCATCTCAATTATTTCAGCCTTTTCTCTAGCTAGAGATATTCTAGATTATGTGTTTAAGCCTTTTAGAGGTGTGTGTGTGTGTGTGTGTGTGTGTGTGTGTGTGTGTGTGTGAGAACTTTTAAAAGTATTTTGGGAAGACTATATACCAAACAGTTAACTTTTTTGTTCCTTCTGGGGCAAACTTGAAACGTTTTCCTTTCTTACTGTCTTCTGAGTACCTGGTGATTATTATCCTTGGTAGGTAGTAGCAGAAGTCTAGATGGTGAGTTAAAAATGTTGGGGCACCTGGGTGGCTCAGTTGGTTGAGTGTCCGACTTTGGCACGGGCCATGATCTCATCATTTGTGAGTTCGAGTCTCAGGTTGGGCTCTGTACTGACAACTCAGAGCCTGGAGCCTGCTTCAGATTCTGTGTCTCCTCTCTCTGCTCCTTCCTCGCTCGTGCGCTGTCTCTCTCTGTCTCTCAAAAATAAAGAAATGTTGGGGCACCTGGGTGGCGCAGTCGGTTAAGCGTCCGACTTCAGCCAGGTCACGATCTTGCGGTCCGTGAGTTCGAGCCCCGCGTCAGGCTCTGGGCTGATGGCTCAGAGCCTGGAGCCTGTTTCCGATTCTGTGTCTCCCTCTCTCTCTGCCCCTCCCCCCGTTCATGCTCTGTCTCTCTCTGTCCCAAAAATAAATAAACGTTGAAAAAAAAAATAAAGAAATGTTAAAAAAATGTAATTATTTGTGACTTCTTTTTTTTTTTTTAAGTTTATTTTCTTTTGAAAGAGAGAGCATGTGCATACGGGGGGAGGAGGGGGCGGCAGGGGAAGGCAGAGAGAGAATCCCAAGCAGGCTCTGCACCGTTAATGCAGAGCCCTATGCAGGGCTCAAACTCACAAACCATGAGATCATGCCCTGAGTCGAAAACAAGAATCAGACACTTAACTGACTGGGCCCCCCAGGCGCCCCTATCTGTGACTTCTTAAAAGATAGATGCTTATGTTTGACCGTTGGGTACATACATTTTTGCCCCAACAGTTGCTTCTACCTAAATTGAATCAATAAGATATAAACTGTGGTTTTTGGACTTTTACTTTCCTTTTTAAAATATTTTTCCTCACTATCCTGTTTCTAACTTCAGTCTTATTTATGCAACGCTATCTCGTAGATAGTGAGAAAATACCCCATAAGGATGCATTGTGCCATTTCACTTTACCTTAGACTTAATAATTTGTACAATCGTACAGCAGTAGAAATTGCTTATAAAGTTGTTAATGAATAAAATATAATGCTCATGTAGTGTACTATGATTGAACCTCTGAAACTAATTTTCACATTATAACAGACCAGGTATTATTTCTGTCTTTAAAAATGCCAGGAAGGTAATGGATATTAGAGTGTATTAAGAACTCTTAAGATAAACATGAAATGTCAATCTCATCACATTAATTATTGGGCGGTAGTTTTAAATACAGTAAGTGAAATTTCAAGTCTTGTTAATATGTTTAGATTTATTTAAAAATCCTATAATTTAGATGTGATTAATATTTTATTTACTAGTTATTTCTTATGAAATCTCTTGAAATTGATTATGATCTATTATATACATTTATAAGGTAAATAGTTATTTTCTTTTCCTCTGCTTTTGAATTTACAGCAAAAGACGATGGAAGCATTGCTGTTGCCCTTGGTTACACTGCACATTTGGTCTCCATGATTTCCTTTTTCCTACAAGTGCCCCTGAGATATCCTATAATTCATAAGGGATCTAGATCAACAATCAAAGATAATATCAATGACAAACTGACTGAAAAGGAGAGAGAGTAAGTATCTTTTTTTATATACTTTTAATATAAGCCAGTTTGAAACATGGAATATATTAAAAATATAAAATGTGACCTAGATTGTGATTTTTTATATATCCTTTGTGAAGTGCTTCATTTTAAAATATATATATATTTTTTATGTTTTATTTTTTTATATTTGAGAGACAGACAGACAGACAGAGCACAAGCAGGGGAGGGGCAGAGAGATGGAGAAAGAATCTGAAGTAGGCTCTAGGCTCCGAGCTGTCAGCACAGAGCCCGCTGCGGGGCTCGAACTCATGAGCAGTGAGATCGTGACCTGAGCCAAAGTCAGACGCTTAACCGACTGAGCCACCCAGGCGCCCCAGTGCTTCATTTCTTTTAAATAGAATGTGGTTATTCATTTAGATTATAATAAATCCTACACTTCTTAAAATTGCTAATGATAGCAAGATTGACTCATTTAATTTGCTTTTGTGAGAACAAGTGTTATATACTCTGCATATTCTCATGTAGAACCTAGTGCTTGCTAGTCAACAAGTGAAATGATTAAAGATTTGTCAGACAAACAAGAAAAGCATAAAAGACTCAGCAGCAGGTTGTACATGTCTGAAAAGTAGATTAGTGAACTGGAAGATAGGTCAGTAGAAAATATCCTGACCAAAGCACAAATAAAAAAAAGATGGATTATATAGAAAAGTGCTAGACTGACATAGGACCCAATAAAAAGATACATATAATACATATACATACAATACATATAATACATATAGTTGGGGTCACGGGGGGGGGGGAAGAAAGCATAGAGGGTAATAAATGTAATATTTAAGAGTTAATGACAGAATTTCTCAAATTTGACGAAATGTATCAAGCTACAAATTCTAGAAGCATTAACTGCAACTCATAAGTACAAAGCAAACATACTTAAGGAAATTATATTAAAACAACTGAAAACCAAAGACAAAGTGAAAATACTGAAAGTAGTTAGTAAAAAAAAAGACAACTTAGCATCAAAAGAGCAACAATAAGACTGAAAGCTAATTTCTCAGTAGAATCTTTAGGAACCATAAAAGTGATGCAAAGACATTTTAAAAGTACTATATATAAAACAGGAGCGCTTGGGTGGCTCAGTTGGTTAAGCATCTGACCTCGGCTCAGGTCCTGATCTCATTGCTTGAGGGCTCATTGCTTGAGGGCCCTGCTTTGAGCTCTGTGCTGATACCTCAGAGCCTGGAGCCTGCTTCAAATTCTGTATCTCCCTCTCTCTGTCCTTCCCCTGCTGATGCTTTGTCTCTCTCTCTCACTCTCAAAAATAAATAAACATTAAAAAAATTTTTTTTTAATTTTTTAAGTACTATAAAACAATACTGCCAGCTTAGAATTCTATACTAGGTGAATATTTCCTTCAAAAATGAAGGCAAAATAAAAGATGTTTCAGACCATCAAAATTGAGAAAATGCATCCCAGCAGACTGTGCTAAGGGAAATGCAGGTGCTAAAGTCAGAATAAAAGTAAACATAGCACAGAAACATGGAAATATGGAAAAGAACAAAGACAACAGAAAGGGTAAGTGTGAGTACATCTAAATTAATTTTGACTGCAAAACAAATAGTAGTTGTTATGCCCAGAATTCGTGATCCCCAAAGACCACTAGGGAGCCAAGTCCGATGCAAAAGCAAAAGAGCCTTTATTCGAGCTAGCTCGCGCTCAATCCCCTACCTGCACCAACGCAGCGGTGAGATACCAGGGAAAGAGAGCGAGTTTCAAAAGGACAAAGGTTTTATTGGGGCCTGGGGGCAGTTGGTGAGGTAATGGCTATGGCCTCAGCCGATTGGCTGGGGAAGGGTCCTGGGGAAGGGTCCGAGTCCTGTTAGGCAGGTGAGGGGGGGTTACTCAAGGGGAGGAGGTGTGGTCAAGGTGAAGGACACAGAACAAGATGGAGTTGGCCGGCATAGGCCCGCCCTTTCAGTAGTGTCATAAAATATGAAATACATACATATAAAATATATGTGAAATTATGCATGTTGGAAAGTAGAAATGGAGTTAAAGTTTTCTAAGATTTTAAAGGAGGGTAAAGATCCTACTTTATAGAGGACTAATCAAGGATCATGTCATAATCTCATAACCACTAAAAGAATTGTTATGTGTAGGCAAAAAATTAATAGAGGATACAAATAGAAAATGTTTTAAATACAGTACTTGATTAATCCAAAAAAGGGAAGAAAAGAAAAGAAAATGAACATTGAACAAGTGGAACAAACAGAAGACAAATAGTAAATTTGTTCTTATTAACCCAGACTTAAATTCTGCAGTTGCAGTAAATTTTAAATGTTATTAATGTACTACTTAAAAATAAAGATTGTCAGGCCGATTGAAAAAACTACACTTACCCTGCTTGCAAGAGATACCTCAAATATAAGGACACAGAAATAATGAAGATAGAAGAGTGAATAAAGACATATTATACAAATACTATCCATATGAGAGCTAACTACACTAATATCAGACAAAATGAAGTTTAAGGCAATTTAAATAAGTGAGATATTTTATTTTAATGCTGTCAGTTATACACAGACAGACAGACAGACAGACACACACACACACACACACACATATCCATCCCTAGAAGCATGACTTCAAACATATAGACAGAAATTCACAGAATTTCAAGGAAATCCACAATTATAACAGAGGACTTTATATTTCTTTTTATTAATTATTATAGGAAGCAGATAAAATAGTCAGAATCTAAAAGATTTGAAGAGTTCAATAAACTAGAACTTAGTTATGGCTGAAGAATACTGTACCAACAGCTGTAGGATACATTCTTTTTTAGATATACATGAAACATTTACCAAAATTGATTATGCTGGGCCTCAACAAATTTCGAGAGATTTAAATAATTTACAGTATATTTACTGACCACAGTGGAATTTACTAGAAATCAATAATAAAATCCCTAAATGTGTGGGTGTAATACTTCTGGGCGCCTGGATGGCTCAGTTGGTTGAACGTCCAACTTTGGCTCAGGTCATGATCTCGCGGTTCGTGAGTTCGATGCCTGCGTCGGGCTCTGTGCTGACAGCTCAGAGCCTGGAGCCTGCTTTGGATTCTGTGTCTTCCTCTCTCTGCCCCTCCCCCACTTGTGCGCACTGGCGCATGCTCTCTCTCTCTCAAAAATAAACATTAAAAAAAAATGTTTTAAAAAAACAGTGTAAAACCTATAGGTCAAAGAAGAAACTATAAAAGAAGTTTGAAATTACTTTTGAACTGAATGATAATAGAATGTAGCATATGAAAGCTTGTAAGGTGCAACTAAATCTGTGCCCAGAGGGAAATTCATTTCCTTAAATGCGTGTAGTAGAAAAAAAAGAAAGATTTACAAATCAGTCATCTAAGTCTTCTAAGTCTCATGAAACCACTAGAGAAGGAAGAGTTCATTAAGATCTAAGAAAGTTGAAGGAAGGAAAGAATAAAAGTAAGAGCAGAAATTAAATGGACAACTGAACAATGGAGGAGAAAAATACAGGCAAAAGTTCTAGCCCTGAGAACTTTTGAGAAACAACTGAGAAATGCATAAGCCCTTAGCAGAACTAATTCAGAAAGAGGAGATGGCAAAACAACTAGTATAAGGGGGAAAAAGATATCACTATAGATATACAGACATTAAAAGATAAGATGATCTTATGAACAACTTTTTGCTTATCAATTTGAAATTCAAATGCAAAAACACAACTTTCCAAAACTGATATATGAATGATTGGAGTTGAGAAAACAACTGCACTTGGCTAAAGGGAGGTGGATAATAGATGATTCTAGGTAAGTTATTCTCAACACTGGCTGTGCATTATTGTCAACTGGGGAGCCTTTAAAAATGAGCTCCTGATCTCCAGATTTCTGACTTCTTCCCCAGAAATTCTGATTTAGTTAATAGGGCCCAAATATGAGGTATTTTTTTTAAGCTCCTGAAGTGATTTTAATGTGGAGTCAGGCTTGAGAACAACTGTTCTAGTTTGAGAGACTTTTGTGTTCATAGACATGAAGAAATGAAATACCCTCCACTGTATTTAGGAAACTGCAAGAGGAGAGGCAGAAAATGTAGGCACCAAATGGAAGAATTTAATATTACATCTGGTAAAACAATGACCCTCAGTTTCCAAGTAGAGGGCAGGGAACACTGTATAGTTTAAATCAGTGCCTTTTATTTTTAAAAAAAATTAAAAATTTTTTTTATATTTACAGTGAGAGAGAGAGAGAGAAAGTACAAGTGGGGGAGAGGGGCAGAGGGAGAGAATCTTAAGCAGGCTCCACACACAGCACAGAGCCCGATGCAGGGTTTGATCCCACAACCCTGGGATCATGACCTGAGCAGAAATCAAGAGTCAGACATTCAAGTAATGGAGCCGCCCTTTACTTTTATTTTTTAATTATTTTTTATTTTTTAATTATTTTTATTGAAGTATAACTAACATTACAGTGTTGTGTAAGTTTCACAATATACAATATAATGTACAATTGTACAATGTACAATATAATGATTCAACAATTCTATACATTTCTCAGTGCTCAAGATAAGTATACTCTTAACCCCCTTTATCTATTTAGCCCGTCCTTCACCTCCCCTCTAGCAACAACCACCAGTTTGTTCTCTGTATTTAAGAGTCTGTGTTTTGTCTCTTTTTTTCTTTGTTAATTTGTCTCTTAAATTCCGCATATGAGTGAAATCACATAGTATTTGTCTTTCTCTGACTGACTTATTTCACTTAGCACTGTATTCTATAGGCCCATCCATGTTGTTGCAGATGGCAAGATTTTATTTTATTTTTTTTTGTAGCTGAGTAATATTCCATTGTACATATACCACATCTTCTTTATCCCTTCATCTAACAGTGGACACTTGGGTTGCTTCCATAACTTGGCTGTTGTAAATAATGCTGCAGTAAACACAGGTGTGCATATATCTTTCAAATTAATGTTTTTGGTTTCTTTGCGTAAACATCCAGTGGTGGAATTACTGG